CTTGAGTAGTGCATGTATAGAGGTGGGGTTTAATGCTTATTAAGTCTTTATGGGATCTTACAGCATGTAATTTGTGATGAGAATTGTGTAATATGAGTAACAGAGTCCTGTGCTCTGCAATTCTTTTTATGGGATTCCTAATAAAATGCAATTTCACAGTAACACCGCTTTTCAGTGCAAAAATGTGAATACAACAGCTGAAGCAAATCCACCTTTAATACACACCTATGAATAGTATGATACAGACTGTGTAAAGTTTTACCAAAGATGTGCATAGACAAATTGTAAATGGCTAGCAAGATGTACTCATTTTTTGTATGTGTGCATCCAATCCTTTATGCAGCTAAAACTAGTCTGGTTCTAGGCTATATGATAGCCAAAAATATTGCAGGTGAATAGAACCATCACAGTTTTGACCAAGAATAGTAGGTATAGGAGCAGTTAGTGGTGAGACTTTTGTACTGGCCAGTGAGGTTATTGCTTTATCGCTTGGGGCTCTTCTGTTGAGCTGGAATTTATAGGAGTGCTACAATCTTGTTCAACAACTAAAGTTTGAAATTAAATGTAAAACAGTACAGGAAAGCATAATGGATGATTTGATTGACTTAAGAATACTAGAGTCAGTATTCATTACTTTTTCTATTCTGAGCTGAGAATTTTTATTTTGAGTATCTGCAGTAAGTTGCCATATGTTGCAATAAAGAAGCATAAATACTTGACATCGTCTTTTTAAGTGAAGGGGGCACCAATATGAATTATTGATAAATTGGTAAAAAAATTAAAAACTATTCTTAAATGATCATGCTGGCTTTGATTTAACCTAGAGACTTGAAGTCAAGATGCAGCAGTTCTCTAGTCAGCTGTGTAACATTTAATTATGCTTCACACAGTGTAGTAGATTGATGTAATGATGCTAAAAAAGACTACTCATTCTTTTGAAAGTGCCTGTGTCAACTTGAAATCATATTCCCAGAACTGTTTGATGTTTTCCTGATTGCAAGGAAGATTAATGTCTCTTAAAATATTTTATGGCTGCTTTGTGAAACAAACTGACAGAATGAAGTGATTGACATACAAAAAGAAAATGTCACTAAACATGGAACTTCATCGGAAACAAAACTGAGATAGTCATGAAGCCTGTGCTGAATTTATAACTAGGCATTCTGAGAGTCTGGTGCTTTAACACGACAAAACTGAATGGGTGATAGGGAAGATGGTTGTAAAAGCAGGATTTCTTAACTAGGACAAGGACTTTAGGACTTGTCCTTAAAACTGAGACACCCCTCCAATATATGAGGTCAAAATGTGGCTGCTTTTCTTAGAAACCTCAGCAAAACATGTATTTAGAAAACAGCTTACGTAGCTTCTGAAACTTGGTACCAGGCTGGCAGATAGTTGTGTAAAAGCATGAGATCATCTTCCGAATCAGCCTGCAGCAATTCATAAGATAATTCTAACATGAAACAGCATTGGACTGTGTTGCCAGAGCATTATTTCTCTCACTGTAAAGAAGTTATGGATAAGTACTGTGCAATGTCCTCATGTTCAAGTTTGGTAATAGCTGTATGACTCAGAATTCCTTATTCCTGTTTCTGGTGTTGAAAGAGCAGCAACTTGGCAAAAGCTACAGTAATATTCTGTTAAATCCGCTCTGTAGGCAGGTCAAAACCAGTATTTCTAGCAGGACCTCTAATAAAGGCTGGCAGTTGTTACATGTGTGGGTATCCTGGAGTCAATGTTCTACCACTCCCTCCCCACTGCTGTGGAGGGAGTATTGGATTTCCTCACCATAGCTGATAACCTTGCACTGCTGTGCTATGCAGTGTGCTTCAGCTGAGGCAAGGCATTTTTGGGTCAAAGTATGTCTCATCTTTCCAAGACTAGTGGTCAGACTTTTTTTAAACTAAAAATTTTAAAATGCATTATTAATATTTTTAATTTAAAAAAAAACAAAACACAAACCCACAACCAAACAGCAGTCTTGCCTTGCTCACTGCCTCTACAAAGTACAGCTACCAAGACTTCGTTTCTCTCTTCTTCCACTTCCTCATGGCTCAGGTTTCTTTTTGCCTAATTTACTCAAGTTTAAGCAGTACATTTCTTCTAATTTCAGGTGATTTGTCCTCATAAGTGCTTTAATATTGCTATACTTCATTTGGTGAAATGTCAGTTGTGCAAAATTAGCAGAGATTCTTGTTGCTTGTGACAGTATATAGGAGAAACTTTATATTAACTTGCTAATTAGCTGTCTTGTGTCTGACATCTTTGCTGAGTTGGGCTGGGTGGAGGGTCTGCTCTCTCTCATACAGACTACAGGAGTTTAGAAGGGTGCTATAGCTGTGTATAGTCTGACCTGTATGATGGGAGTTTGAGATCAGAGTGCAGGTTCTTCGCATTTCCTAAATAACTTCATGAAGGTAAGGCTGAAGCCAGTTCAAAAATGGTACGTAGTGTCCTCAGCAGGCAACTGAGAATGATTAGGGAGAGATGCACTTTGAACTATCATGTCTGTAAAGAGAAGAATTTACAGCTCCTAGCATCCCAAAAGCCATGTTTTTATTTCTGCTTCAGCTTAGTAGGATATACAATAAATCTTAGATCTCACATTCCACCCACAAGGAGGTTCACTTCTCTGCATTCAGATTTAACAGGTCTCAAGGGGGTGCAGGTAACCAGACCAATCAAACACAACCACCACACCCTTAGTCTGGGTTTTTAACTTGCTTTTAATAAGACAACACCTATGGAATAGAAGCATGGTACGGAATAACAGCAGTTCTGCACACCCCCTTAAGCAACAAAGCACCTGTGCAAGAAAGTGGGGTTACAGGCATATACCCAAACTAGGGCTGGCTCTGTTTATGCTGTTATGGCAACTGCCATCTTCCATACGGTTGAAATTATACGGTACCTACACAAGGTTAACTGGTTTGCCACAAGGGGCTCTTGTTTTCTTCAGCTTGGTATCTTGTGTTTACCAAGGCTCATGTTTTGAGACACACAAGCACCTGAAAAGCATGAGCTATCTGAATGGTACAGTTCATTTTCTTCAGATGCAGGTAAGCAATACCATGTCTTGAAGGATTATTACTGACGCTTTCTCTGGTGTGGTTCAAGACAGCCCTAATCCGGTCCTTTGTCATGCACCTAGTTTTGCTTTAGAACTCCTCTAGTTCCCAGAGTCCCTGCAAACTTGTGTTACATAATAGTAAGACACAGCAAAATATCAGCAGCTTTCAATTACCATTAGCAGCCTCCAAATTACCATTAGCAGCCTCTTCACAGGTATTAACCCCAGCCATACTGATGGTAGTATCAAACCTGTTTACTTAAGTCTGTCTGATTTTTTTTATTATTTTTTCCAGCTTACATTTCTTCCACTTCAGTTCCATGACTCTTTCAAAATCAGTTCTATCTTCTGCCTTTTTGCTGAACACTACACGTCCTATGTAGTTGTAGCCTTGCCAGGAGGAATGAGGTAAAATAATGTGAAGCGTTGTAGTGAGAGAAGTGTGTTCCAGAAAGATAGTAAGTTTATTCATACATCCACCATCTGGTTTTCTGCATTTCTGGAACTGAGGATAATTACATGCTGAAAAAAGAATCCTTGTAACTGGCTGCTTTAAATAAGTTCACTCTCATTTTCAGATGGCTTTTGTCTTTCTTTTTTCTACTAAGTTCTTCAAGAAGAATTCACCTAATTAAAAGGAAGAAAAAACCCACCAAAATGATTTGGAGGTATTTCAATGAAATAAAGCAAAACACTACACATTTAATGCAAGTATTCTATTCTACAATACAATTTTTCTTACCAATATTTTACAGTAATTCAGTTCTACAGAACAGCACTTTCAATACCGCAGTGATGTAAAAAACCACAAACCAAAACCTATAACCCAATAAAAAAACCCCTCCATCCCCAGAATCCTGGTTTTCGTCACGCCCAATTTTATGAAGTAGCTCTGTTTCTTTTTCTTTCCAACAGGCAAAGCTGAATTGATTTGCTAAATAATTAATTTCTAATTCATAAAGTATCAGCAACTTAGAGTGAAACCTGCTATAAATCTAGTCTGAGCTGGCATTAAAACAGTCTGAGAAGCAAGGTGCCCCAGATGGGTCTTCACTTCTCTCTTTCAAGGAAAAAGCGGGATGCTGCACATACACAACAGTTCCATTAATATCAGCTGCTACTTAATACCCAGTGCTTTATCAGAAAAGGCACTGCCATAAGTGTGTTTAATTATTTCTAAGGCACTGTAAATAAATTCTGCCTAAACCAACAAAGTTACATCACAAACAATAAAGGGCCCCATTAAAACCTGAAGCATCCGAGAGGCAGAATGTAAAGGAAAACTTGCACATTGGGAACTCTTTATCCTGTCTCACGCATTAAGTATAGGACAAACTAGGCTTGGAAAAAAATAGCTTAAGCAGCACAGCCATTGTACAAATACCAATTACTGTCACATGGATGCATTTATATGACTTATAGAAGACAGTAAGTATAAGTAATTAAAAAAAAAATTACTATAGGAAGTGTCCTTGAGCTAAGGTGAGCTTTACGGCATATTACTTCACTGTTTTAACTTTATATAATGTTACGTGCTAAAAAAAATCAGTAACTTACCTGCTTTATAGGAGGAGCGCACTAAAGGCCCACTAGCAGTGTAATGGAATCCAAGATCATTTCCTACTTTTTCCCAGTACTTAAATTTTTCGGGAGTTACGTACTCCTCAACCTAAGTGAAAGGAACTCATTTTGATCAGGTATAAATGCAAAGGAAATGGCTATAGCTATCATGTAGTGAAATAAAACACAGTTATATGACAAGTTCAAAATGTCGACCTCCAAAACTGTCAGCAAAATCACAAACTGAATTTCTCTCTCTGCTTTCTACCCAAGGAATGCATTTTATTTACATTCCATATTTAGCTGAAAGGTTTAGAATTTAATTTTTTGTTGTTGCTTTATCATTTTCTCCGCTCTGTTTTTGAATGGTCCTTTTGACCAAACTTTTTTTTTTTTAAGTCAGTAAAAAAAAAATCAATAGTCCTACAAATCTCTCCACTAACAGTCATTTCAGCAAAACACAGTAACAGAACAGAGACTCGGAGAGCTGCGGACAGATTACAGAATGCGAAAATGGTAATTTCCCCAGTTGAAGTGGCACCGTTATGGGAGAGCCTATGAGACAGTGAAGGGGAGCTGGCTTGAGCCATGACGTCTGAGACACACACACTGAGACTCTTGTTTTTCAGAATCGTGCCTCAGCTCCAGCTGTCTCCCCAGCTAACAGCAGGAAGTAGCAAGAGGAAATCTGCAGAAGTTGGAAGGGATTAGATGGCTGAGGTAATTTTTAGTGAAAAGTCCGTAACAGACAAAGATCAGGTAAAAGAAGGATGGAATTTTTTCCCCCAACATCTGCAGTTAAGGTAGGGGTGCGTATCAAGCCTCAATTTAGTAAGAGGAAACTTGACCGTGCAATGTACAGACCAGAACGCTGCCCATAAAGACATTTTTACCTTTAGGTGACGTTTTGTTGGTTGCATATACTGTCCCAGGGTCAAACAATCTACATCTGCTTCCCGCAGTACTGTAAAACCAAGATTCCCCCGTTAGTGGCAGAAGGATCCCAAGTTGTCAGCAACTAGAAAACACTCTCTTTCCAAGTCTGAACACCGGTACAAGCACCCTGTGGGAGTTACATTCTCCTCTCCAGCAAAGGGAACTTGCAACCTCCGTGAGCAGCAACATACCTCGCTCTGAGCTCTGTGCTGCTGCAAGCCCCGAGCTATCTACTTTAAAGCTAGAGAGGATGCCATCGAGCTGCACTTGCTGCAGTCACGTGTCTCACTGCAGGAATGACATGCCCTTGTCTTTCTGATCTTGATGCTTTTCATCCTGTCTTTAGGTCAGGGACTTCATTTGACAAAAGAAATAACGGATGCATGCACACACGCTTAGCACTTCTCCACTGTTTCAAGAGAGTTCATGCTGAAAAGATGCAGAACAGTTCTCAGGAGCTATAAACCGGGGGGAGCTGCCAACACCTTCTGCCAGTTTTACACACTTGGGATGTACGTTAGTTTTGACGCCTGGAGAATCTCATAAACTTTGTCTGTTGAAATTTGCCTATACGCTAGAACCAATATACAGCTCGGGTATCCTGCTTACAGAAGGGAACCCAGACACCCGACAGAACTATGTTCACAGCAGCTAGTGGGATGGCTCAGGAACCTGATTTTGCATGAATGCTGCCCTGCATTTTCTCTCTACTTGGGCTGGTTGCCCCACATCAAACAGGAAGAAAAGACGGAGCTCTGACTACTACTACTCTGGAATCTCTGTTTAGATTGATACAGTTCTGTACAGAACGTGGTTCAATATCAGCGCATCTATTTTTTTAATTTGTACCTAGAGGATGGAAGGGGAATGAAATTAGAGTAACTGAATGAATGTAATGGGTAACAGTTTGTCTCTGAATACATCCATGAAAGTGACCTGAAACAAACAGCAACAAATTTGAAATGTCATACTCTTGTGGCTAGGAAATGCTAGGCAGGAAGAATGGGAACATCAGAAATTTTTTTTTTTATGGTCCACATTGTGGGACAGCTGCAGAAAAAAAATAGACTATATCAATGCATTCTAAATATACAGTGTTGTACACAAAATACAGTACCAGGTAGACATTCTTTCAGGACATGGGAGAAATGCCACAGGACTTATGAATTTCTTCTGGCATTGCATTCCCTTAAAACTGTGAATTCTTAACCTTTTAAAAACACATTTACATGCAAACATAAGAAAATGCTCCAGCTCCAAGGATAACATTTTTTCATCTGAGTAAACTGACATAAATTATTTTAAACAATCGGGTGTGCTATTCCTAAAAAGCAATGCATGATAGAGCAATTACGTTGCAAGCTTATTATTTAAGTATTGCGAAGGTAAGACTGTTGACACAGTCACACAAAGATGGCTATAATTTCCGCTGAAATCAACATGACCTGGATCTACCTGTCAAACTGAGTCTGAAAGGTAAAATGCTTTAGAAGTTCAATCTTTTTAAAGCAAACTTGTTTCCATAAAGCTCAGGAAACATTTCCCGCACCAGTGAACTGTAAAGGCAAAGATGCCTTTTCCAACGCAACAAAATTCACACCTATGCATTTCAACACCAACTTACATTTCATGGTGGAATACACTTGCTCATCTGTCTCGCCTAGCCCCAGCATGATGGAGGTTTTGGAAATGACGCCGGGCTGGACCTCTTTGGCGTGCTTCAGCACACGCAGCGACTGCTCGAAGTTGGCTCGGGGATCGCGCACCTTCCTTCGCGCATTTTCAGCCCAAGGCGGGAAGAAAAACAAAACCACGGCCCGGCAGGGTGCACACGGGTTAGAGACGCCAAGAAAGGTGCCTTCTGCTCCTTTCCACTCGGGGAAAACGGCAGCTTCGGCCCTTT